TTACTTTAATTTATATTTTTTATTATTTTCTGGAGGCATATGATTAAAAAAACTGCTTACTTTCATACTTTATATTCATCCTGTATACAAGATCATATATCACTAAACAGACATAATAATTTTATTTAAAAACACTGCCTTCGACTGTTTCAATAATTCCTTTTTTTGGGACGAATATCAAATTTTTGTGCAACAACTTGCAATTAGATTGAGCCATGGAACATTTCAGTAAACAATTTTTTCTGAGAATTGTCCCGATCTGCACCCGAATCCTCTTGCACCGTTAATCTTTGTATCGAAAAAAGTAAAAACAAGGGTAATGTTGGCCTGCTAGCTCCGAAATTTCGTGACGACTCTCTCTAATTGGGTCAGATACCATAACGAGGGATCGCATTCTCGCCGATTCGAAAACGTCTTCGACTGAAGAAAATATATTAGATGTAGCCCGGCTATCGGCTACCCGAATCGAAATAAATCCAACAAAGCAAAAAGCCGGCACTGATTTTCCTTTATTGACTCCTTTTAATTTGCTCACAAAAACGTACAAACAACTCACAAGGCCCTAATTTACGGTATCGTAACAATGAGAGAACACCTTTAGTGTCTTATTTACGACGGCCTATAATAGCGTGAACCCTGCGATGAGGGCACTACAAAAATTTATATCTTTTCATACCTCGTAAAAATCTGAGGCGGTTCCGAGAAAGAGCAAAGAAAAGAAACAATAATAATGTCCACACGTTTACGATTATGGACCAATCAAAGAGGCGGCTCAATTGAGGAAAAAACAGCAAAAAGTCGCACTTGTGTAAAATTTACGGCGTCAATAACGAACGGATGATGCTTTAAACAAATAATAAAGTCGAGGGTTGGATGGAGAGGATGCTAACAATGCGGAAGGGTGCGGTTCCCACGTGGGGGTGATATGGGGCTTGTGGGAAGAGATGGGTATCATATGGTTTGGAGAGTGTTTTTGCACAAGTATAGTTCATAACTAATCAATTAAATGAGGCGAATTAAGCTGGTTAAGGCGGGAGTGGAGGTCAAGTAATAAATAAAACTGATCAGACGATTAAATCAATTCGGAACTGACTTTACAAATGTAGAAATGAAAAGAGAAATGAAGGCGTTTTTGAGTTATGAATAAATTTTTTGTCTTGGCAATAATTTTTACATTGCAATAATCTGAAAAAGAAAAGCAGTTCATGCGCAATACCAATAACTAAAACAATCTGTCTCAAGTTTTCTGAAATACACTAATACAAAAATTCTTTCATAAAAATGAAAAAAAATTTTATTAATGAATTATCAGACAAAAGAAAAAAACGTTTGTTTTTTTTTATATTAAAATCAAGAACTTTTTTTTCTAGATTTAAACTCGGACTACTTGGACATGTCCTTCGGCCGTTCTCCCGGCACCCCCGGAATGCATGGTTCCAATCAAAGAACGAAGAGGATGCGAACATCCTTCAAGCACCACCAACTCCGTACCATGAAGTCCTACTTTGCAATAAACCACAATCCTGATGCAAAAGACCTGAAACAACTATCCCAGAAGACTGGCTTACCCAAACGAGTACTTCAGGTAATTTTTTTCTTGATTTAATTAATTAGTACCAATTCTTCTAATCAATGAACGACTTTTCTAGAAAACATTGAATATACAGGGAATTAAAAAAAGATTGTAAAATATTTAAGAAGGTAATAGTATAGACCAAAATAAACAAAAAAGTTTTAATAAATATGGGTCCGCAAAATAACAGCTTCGGAAATATCGAATATGAAAACTTTTAAAATTCTTACTATTTTTTAATAAAGGCTTCTTTTTTTGTTTGAACAGATTGCAAATAAATGTTTCAAAAAACGAATAATTTTCTGAAACCGTTACTTTACAGACTATTAAGATGTTTTTGTTTGTTTTGGTCCATACTATTACTTCCTGAAATATTTTACAATCTTTTTTTAACACCCTGTATTACCAAGATTAAACAATTTGTTGAGTGCGGTCCATAAATCCGGCGGTGCTTTCTAACAAATCATTTCGTCGTTGTTCATCTCGTAGAAATATCGAAAGGCTTCGGGCCAATCGGGGGCTTAACGAGAACTCTCAAGACAAACAACCTCAGTCGACTGAAAGATTTTAATGGGCCCAGTTTTTAGAGCTGCCGGCCGCTCAGACCGATTGTTTATCAATGGGGAGGCAAACTAATAACAATCGTCGCGAAAAAATCGCGCCGAATACGCCCGAATTTCAATCGACGCCATCTTGGTCTTAACGCGGATCGATACGACAACAAGATCTAGTGAGCGGCGGCGGCGGTTACCATGACGATCAGCCGACACTCATTTCTCATCGCCAACATTCCGACTCAGCCGCCTTCGACAATTAGCAGAAATAGAAATAGTCGTGCACTCAAACGATCCTCGAAACAGTTGGCCATGCGTATAGAGATTCTCAAGTGAATAATGACGCGGGCAGACGGCGAAATTCAAGCTTCTGAGAAAATGCACCGAAAAACGGGATTTTTTAAGTATGGGGACTGAAATAGATCCCTGTGGTAAACAAGACAAAAATTTTGCACAAAGATTTACAGTCTGCCTAAAATTGTGATAAAATCTAAATTTGGTCTCCTTGAAACTCACAATATTGTCTAAATTGAAAAAAGATTTGTGATAAACCAAGACCAGATACAATTTTTTTGACTAAAAAGACGACTATTTCTGCAAAAGTTAAGCAGAGTTGTTAATTTTGACCAAACATCTAGGATCTGGTCAAAACCGTGTTAAAATTTAGATTATGACTTAGATAAATTGTTCAAACTAAACAATGACTTGTCAGAATTTATTAATTGGTCAAAATTTTTGACAAACATTTACAATTTGGTCAAAATAATGATCTAAATTTGCCTTTTTTGAAAATTGCGTACACTTTGTGTTAAACCAAGTCAAATACATTTATTTACTAAAAAAACTATTAAGTATATCTGTAAAATTTTTCTAAATTTATTAGGTTCTTAATCAAAAATTTTGAATAGACAACTACGATCTTGAAAAATTGTAATAAAATTTAAACTTGACTTTCTTGTAACTTCGTTATATATAAATATAGTCTAAACCAAAAGAAGGTTTGTGTTAAACCAAAGCCAAATATATTTTTTTGCTAAAAGAACTACTATCTACTATTAACTAGTCTAAAATTAGGACAGATATCTGACCTGACTTGACTCCACCTGGCCAAGGTAATGATAAAACCTAAACTTAGCTCTCTTGAAACTCATAAAAATTGTGTAAACCGAAAAAAAAATCAATTAAAATCAACAATATTTTTTTATTAAGAGAACTATTATTTCTGAAAATTCTGTAACGTAATAGATATATTTTTGTTCTTGTAAATTTGATAAATTGTCTAAACTGAGAGAAAGTTTGTTTTAAACTATGGCTAAATACTAAAAGAACTGCAATTTTTGTAAAATTTTATTAAAATTTATAAAGTCAAGAATTTTGGATAGGAATCTAACATCTGATCTGAGGCCATAACAAGGATAAAATTTAAGCTCAGCTTTTTTGAACCTCATATAAACTCTGCAAACTGAAAGTTCAAAGCCACAAAGCTACTAAAAATTACTGTTTCAGTAAGATTTTATCAAAATTGATTAATTTGTCACAAAGCTTGCACAAAAATTTTGAACAGGCATGTATGGTCAAAATAGTAAAAAAAGCAAACTTGGCTTTCTCAGAATTTAGATAAGAGAAGAGAAAATCATAGTCAAATACATTTTTCTACTAAAATAACTCCTGTTTTATTTTTTTTTTCTTAAGAACACAAAAGTTAAACAAGTGTTTTTATTAATTAAAATTACAAATACATATTTAAATGTTGTTGCATTTATTGCAAAATTTCAATCTTCTGTTACTGTTTGACAAGGATATGTTAATTCAGTAATTATTTATTTAATTAAAAAGGGAAGATAACAGACCAAACTCAAGTACTATTTTGTCTAGATCAAAAATAAAAATTTCAATTTAAAAAAAATTGTATGTTTTTTTGTTTTGTTTACGCTTGTTCTCAATTTCTTGCTTTAAAAATAAACTGTATTAAATGATGTTTTGACCCTTTTTTTTTCTCACTGGACATGAGAATATAGTGGTTTTGGTTAGAGTATAATCGTCCCCTTACTGCAACAACTAGATAACTTAAATTTTAGGCATTTCTAAACTATTTGTTGCTATACTTCAAAAACATAAAACCAAATTTTCTATCATATTAAAAAAACATAGTTTAGTAAGTATATTATACACTTGTATGACTAATAATAATTATTTTTGATTACTTTCACGGTGTATTTTTTTGTCTTTCAAATTTTTAAACTGCAGTTACTCAAAACTATAAATTTCAAGTTATCTAGTTGTTGCATTAAGGGGACGATGATGATGTTGTAGGTGGTCACTTTGATCAAAAATTCACACTTGTCTGTTTTTTTTTCATTTTTTTTTGGTGGTAAATGTAGTAGTTTGGGTGGAGTATTTGGTCGCAGTGTCCATCGCAAATCTAGTGCTATGCACCATTTCAAAAAAGAAATCTCGTGATTTTCTCCTTGCATCCGTCCACCGTCGACATATCTCCTCGTCATCCAGCATCAAGTGTTTGGTTTTTGCTCGTCGGCCATGCTGAAAGCCCCGGTCGTAACAAATGATAATGGGCAGTTTGGAATTCCTCCACGACGGCGGAGGACGCGCTCTTCGGTCATCCGGTTCTTGTAACACTATTATCGCCACATTCAGTTTATTGTTATTAATAGTGGTGTCCTTATTCGGAGCAAAACAGCCGCTTTCATAGACGTTTCAGTCACCTGATTAGTACACGGCCGCAGAACCACCGGCTTCATGCAACTTTCATTAACCACCGTTCGCCTGAATAATAAAATTTAACAATTCTGTTTTATGGGCGCCGGTCTACGCGTTTTATACTCGATGCATTCGCAGTTGGTACACTTGTTCTTACAGCCTCACTTTGATGTCAACTCGCGGCGAATCGATTTCGGATTCCTTTGACGATTCCTTTTTTGCTAAAGCGACGACTACCCCGTCGCCAAGCTGCCGCCGGAAGCAATGGGACAATGACAGAGCTTTGGGGGACACCACGGAAAAATTTTTCGCTACTTAAATTTCAACAATTATTAAAATACAAAATTACAAAAAGTATTCAATCTAATACTCCTTTCAATTTATTTTTTTTAATTAGACTTGGATAAGGGCACAAAATTTGAATAATTGTTTGATTTTTTTGTTAAAAGTGACATTTGTTATGTCTAAAGAGTAAAATTAAATTAAAAAAATCAAGAAATTCTGCATCCACACGCTGTATTTTTCCGGAATTACTGACCATCACCGTCGTAGAAATATTAGAATTGGCTGTGTGTGCTTTTAAAACGTCCACTTCAGTTAGTTTCAAAGATAAGGAAAGTTATATAATTTTAATAAAATAAACTTAATAAAGGTTGTAAAAAGTCAGAAGCACAAACCTCGATTATAAAATTAAAGATTTGATCACAAACAGTAGTGAATTTATTTAATAGTTTCTTTATAGCGACATAAATTTCAAGCACAGCAAGACTGTTTGTATTAATTAAAAAGGTAGATCGTACGCATTTAACTAATTCAACATTTTTAATGTAGAAGAAGACAGATGTTATGGAGGTTTAGAAGCGTTAAACACAAAAACTTCCCAATTTAAAGAAACGAACGATTTAAAGTAAGGTATCAAGCAGTGACAGAGCCACATTTTGAGTTTCAGAGAATAAATTAATTAAAATTTAAGTCTGTGGGGTGCTAATAACTATTTTTTTCTATTTTACGTCTGAAAGAAAGCTTATTTCGATACCAAAACCGATGCTTTAATGAGCTTCAACACCAATTTGGGTGCTGAAATAGACTAGCACAATTTACTTTCTACAGGTTGGTAGTGGGGATTTTCAGTGGCGTTTTCAGCGATTTCTTTTATTTCAGGTGGTGTGCATGAAATATTTCCAGTACTTATTGTTAATTCAAGAAAATTTTGAAAAAGATTTGAGACTTCACACTTTGAAAATCGAATATTTCACACTTTGTGTCATTTATTACCAACCAATACTTTATTAGGGCAAAAGTTTTCAATTTTAAAAAATCGACTTTTATGTTAAAAAAGTACTTACGTAAAACGCGCAAAATAGAAAAAAATAGCAAAAAAAACTCGTTACACAAAACTTGTCTTACGAAACGCGTTTTTTAATATACTATTTTAGTTTATTGTTAAAAATGACACAATGAAACTATTTTCTATGAAATAAAATTAAGTAAAAATAATTTCATTCACAGTGTTTTCAAAGCAATTTATAACCCCAAGAAACATTTTCAAGTTATGGAAAGAAAATAACTCTTTATGAGTAATGCAACAAAGTTTTTTGTCTTATTTTTCTTTAGTTTCAAAAATGAACAATTTTTACCAAAGTCGGTGATGCTAAGGCAAAATTGTAACCAACACTTAATTTTTTTAAAGTCATTTCTTTTGAGATAGACTTATCTGGCGTTAGTTACGCTTCTCGTTTGAAGTTAGCGTGAGTCGGGAAGATGGCGTCGCGACGCGCGTCTCCCTCTCGAGGGAACCTGAGGGTTCGCAATCCGAAGACTGGGAGACGCGGTAATTGGAACCGTCGCATCCCGGAGGGGAACACCGCTGATTTATTTCGTTTCCAGTCGTGGGTGGTTGAAATTTAAAAAGGCGTGTGCCGACGGCGTATTGATTTTAAACGGCCCAAGAAGACAACGAAGGTGGGCGAGAGGGGATGATTTATCCGAGGCGGCCATTACAGAAAAATCGAAAGAAGTATTTTTTCCGGTTATTTCGGTGTTTAAATCCTAATTCAAAACCGCAGAGTGTCTTGAAACGAAGCAAGCAAACCGCAAGCATTTATTAAATTATTCAAGCATTTACATTCATAAACGTAGTAACACAAATCCAGCCGCAATTATAATCACAAATTTAATTGTTAAGCATAATAATAAAGAGTATTACAAGCGCAATCGTAATTAAAAATCTGAATTATTTTTATTCATTTTCTTAATCACGTTCGACTATTTTAATATTAAACAATTTTTCTCATAAAAGAAAAAGCGTAAACATAAACGCAAGCACGCGGAACGCATCGCATTACTCGACCGACTTAACGTAACGGTAAGATCAAAGACGTAACGTAACGCAACGTAGATCAAAGAGACGCCCCATCAATTAATTCCGGACAAATTCGTTCCGGCGAAGAAGTCCCAAAGTCGGTGCAAATTAATCAAAGAGTGGTGTATGTGTGTGAAGCAAAGAACATAGAGATTAGCGTGCTGGAAATAAACTCGCCTTGATAAATGCTCCGTTTGTCTAAATAAATGTTGCGTTCGGCCACATCTCGCTTGATATATTATTTCCGAGAGGGTTGTTTTTTATGACGATCAATCTTAACAGCATGTTTTAGTAATAAACTTACGTTTAATACAAACACGTGGCTCGCCAAAGCCACCGAAACTAATCAATTTCAGGTGTTTGAGGACGAGATGAGCGCTGTTTACAAACTGCGGTTTGATGCTTATCAAAAGGCAGATTAATTAATAAACGGGCTTTATAGATTGCGTTCCTGAGACAGATTTTGTCCACGATCCGATAAATAGTTTATAAAAATATTTAAATTTCTAATCAGCCAAATAGGTATTATAGATATTAATAAAAATATTGTTTATTCCTTAGACACTAAAAATGGTCACTATGGTACTATTATTTAATATAGACTTTTTATCTTACTCAATATAATAATTGTCAGTTAGTGATTTTTTTGTCTTATTAGTGAAAAAATTAATATACCACAAAACTTTTTTTTCTCTCAAAATTCTTTAATATGGGGCTTAAACACTTCACGACTCACCATTTATCTATTTCAAGTCAGATAGTGTGCAGAAAACTGCATTTTAGATGCTTCAAAAGAGGGTCTCGCCACTGCTCGCGGCGGAAAGCCGTTACACACAAAATTTGTTAAAAACACCAATGGCACATGAAAAAATGCAATGCAACTTTACGCATTTCACTTTATCATTTCTAAATAATTACGACTGTTTGTTATCGAATTATTATCGTTTTGGTTGCTTTTTTTATGAGAAATTTAGATGACAATTAATGTCAAATTAAGAAATTATCAACTATGAATTAAAACATTTATGATCTTTTATTTTAATTTTTTTATGAAAAGTACACACAATTACACAATTACAAATTACAAATTTAAGAAAGTCCAAAATATTTTTTTATATTAGTTGTTGAAATTAGTTTCAGATGACTAAAAATAAAAAAATGTTATGTCTGCTTGAGCTCATAGGTATAGAAAATGTTAAGCAGAATTAAATTCTCTATTTAATGAAGAAAAATTTGGAGTCTTTCATTAAAAACAATGACTTATGAGTAGGTATTTGACTTTTCCCAAGCGTAACGTTAAATTTTGGGTGTTCGTTAATAATTTTTTTAATTATGAATCTATCAAAAAAAAAAGATTAATCATTTCTCTTTTAAATGCCAAAATACGATTTCATAATACATAGTTAAAAATTGCAGTTAGATAGATTTTTGAAGAGGATGGTTCAAATTTAAAAATTTTCAAAAAGTCTAAAAATCTTTAAACGGCTGGACTTAGGTATGGGGAGATTGATGATAACTCTTATACAATATATAGCTCGGAAAATTCAAAAACGCTATAAAAAACATAGCTTGCAATTTAAATCAATCCACTTCCGATTAATCGGAAACACAAATACAAATAAGTACAAATTTTTAAACAAATATCATTATCAGAACTTCCAATACTTCTAATGTGGGGTTTAGCCGGAACATCCTATTTATTGAATAGGCATATTTATTAATTTAATCATATTATTTTTAAATTTTAATGTGTTTTTTATATTATATTTTTATTATATTAACTTCTTTAGTGCATTTTATCACCATATCTGCCTCACAACATTTCTGATCAGATGATCAGATGATTTACATAAACATAAGTTTTCTTTTATCTACGACAAAACTGAACGTTTCGTTTTCTCCATTTCTATTCTACCTTTTTTATTTTCTCGCCTCAAATTATTTCTATTATATTCAGTATTTATTCGCATTGTCTTCTTTCCAAATCTGAATTTTGCAATAATAGCAATATCATTCTTTTTTATCTCACTTCTCAGACGACTCATTCTTCTTGGTCCTTCTTTCTTATTTTTCCCTCATTATGATGTCAAAGCTTAAGTCTTCTTCTTTCCTCAACCTTTTCAATTCTTTTTTGCTTATCCGTTTTTCTTATAATATTATTTTTTATTTTCTTTTCCATAATCTACTTCCTCACTTTTTCATTATTTTCAATAGTTCTCCAGAATCTCGCATTTTGTTCTTGTCATTTTTTTTTAATTTTAGAAATCCCCTACTCTTACTCTACCTTTCTTTATTTCTTCTATCACTGTACAGGGTGAATATAAAATATGGAACCAAGCGGTTTTTTTATGATTTGCCTCCAGAAAATAATAATTAATATAAACTAAAGTAATATGAAAAATGTGATCGCATTTTGAGAACGAAATTTTGTTTTGTTTTGAGTTATGCGACTATTTTGTCAAAATTGATGTAATTTTTTTTCTAAAAACTAAATATAAAGTAGATAGTTGAGTTGTAATCCTTAGATCAAAACCATTATGAGAAAAATGGTTTTAATGTGGATTGCCAATAAAAAAATAAAAAACTTATAGAACTCAAAAACAAAACAAAATTTTGAAAGATTTTACTCTTGATAAAACATCATATTTTTATAGTAATTTATCATTCCACAATTAGTTTTTTGAAAAAATAAATGGTTTAAGCTGTACTTTTTATTCACGGGGTATATTTTTTTGAATAATATTATAAAAATAATTGTTGATTTTAACACTGCCATGGTGGGTGTGGGAAGGGGGCCCATGCAGCCACGATAGAACACGAGCCCTTTAGGAACCCAGTACACTGGGCTACTGCCCACAAGATGAAATGATCATCTCGTGGACGGTAATAGGCAGGATCGCCAATGTTAAGCTTGCAAAAATAACGGAAATTTTTCGCTTTTAAAGTTCCAAAGTAAATGAGTTCTTACATTCGGTGAAAATAATTTAATGCACAGAAAGATTTAATGATTTTTTTCTGTGACATTTTGTAAATTAGTAAATTTTATTGTAAAAGTTGAAGACTTTCGTCTTGTTTTTTTTTTTCTTAAAATACTGTAAACTTTAAAAGAAATCGTAATATTTTTCGAAAACAAGTTTTATTGAGTGTGTATTTTGTTGCAGGTGTGGTTCCAGAACGCGCGCGCCAAGTGGCGGCGGATGATGCTGAAGCAGGAGGGCAAATCTGGGGACAAATGCTCCGGCTCGGAGAGCATGAGCGACCTGGACTTGTACCCCCACGGTCCCGGTTCCATGGCGTCCAGCATCCAGTCGATGGCCCCCCACAGTCCCCCCTTCATCCTGCCGCCCGGCAGCCCGTCGTCGCTCGACTGCTCCTGAGAGCGGCCGACGAATTAGGAAAAGTATTTATTTTGGTGACTACGAATGTGATTGAATCATGACTCGTGGACTTTGTGTTAGTTTTTGTTGTTACTAGGAAGTGGTTTGTACTTACTAAATAGAGATTAATTGTCGAGGGACACGTTTCCTATATTCCAGTGCAAAAATAGTTGAGGTTAATTATTCAAAGTGTCCCATCATTAATTATGTCGAAGACAGCACATGCACCAAGTCACATGGAATCCATCAGTGTCAAAGCGGTTTTACTATTTTTGAAACGATCGAAATTTTGCTTTTTCGAGGAGGAAAAATAAACGACAATAATTTTCCATTTTATTTTTTAAGACACGTTACATTGTTCCTAAAATAAATATGAAATAAAATTTAACTTAATTTAAAGATAAGAGGCACTTGTAAATAAGATGCAACTGATGATTACTGTTTAACAGTCTTCCTTTTCCACTCTTTTCTTAGTTTGCTAAATTTTACAGAAATTATTGTCTTCCTTCAAAACGGCCAAAACGACTCTTCTTCTTATTATTACTATTATTGCAAATAATTTTAATAATATTTATTCATGGTAATTCCATCTATTTTTGTAAATTTGCAAAGAATTTCTCTCGTTATCGCTAATTATTATTATTATTTTTTAATTTATTTTGTTCCAATGGTTATAATTCTTTGCAAATGTGTGTAAAAGTGGTTTTGATATGTGGACGGTTTTGTGTGAATGGAAATTGTTGAATGTTGGCGCTACCTCGAAATTTATTGTATATAAAGGTGGTAGCATATTCCTATTAATAATAAATAATTTGATCATTTTATAACCTCGTTTTATTTATCCCCACAAAACTTTTTTTATAACAATCAATCTTCTGTTAGAACAAATAATGAACTAAAATTGATTGTTAGGACAAAATATTGCCTATGTTTATAAAAAAACTCAAAAAAATAGTTTGTTAGATCAAAAAATTGTGCAAATACTCAAAATCGAAAAAAAATACCCATGGTCATAAAAATTACGCAAAAGATTGTGTTCATTAGAAAAATTTCAGCAAGCAGTTGCAAAAATTTAACAAAAAAAAATAAACGGTATTCAGAAAAAAATAAAAAACAATAGATGGTTGGAAAACAAATTGGAGATAAAATTATTTGTTGTTAAAAATTAGACAAAAATAAGCCAGCGTTTAAAAAAAGTTGAACCAAAGCTACACGATGACACAAAAAATTGAGTAAAAAAATAGAATGAACACAAAAAATTTGGGAAAGAATCTAAATGATCCAAAAAAATTAATCAAAAAAATCAACAACAAAAAATTGTAAACAAAATCGCTTGATAGAACAAAAAGTAGATCAAAAACTCCCCCATCATCAAGAAAAATTTAAACAGAATATTGAACGTCGGAAATTTTTTTTGCAAAAGTCTCCTATAGTCAAGAAATTAGGAAAAATGTTGGTTACTGCAAAGAACAAGTTTAGCTAGAAAGCGACTCTATTTTATTTTTCCAATTAAACTCAAGGAAAATGCTCTACAAAAGTTAAGGAACTGTGCAATAATTACAATAATTTAATAAATTATTAAAAAATAAATTAATAATTAATTAAAAGTGAGTTAAAGGCACATATCTTTTTACTTTTTTGTTTTTGCTGAATTTTACAATGCCTAGAAGAGTAAAATTTGTTTGTTGTAAAAATAATGCGACTTCCTTAACTTTTGTGGAGCAGTATATTAAAAATAATACCTACTTTAAAAAAAGGAAAACAAATTAGTCTTAAAAAAATATTACATGTTGTATTGCAATTTTCTTAATTACTTCTTATGGTTCTGAATAAAACTAAGTCTAAAATGTGTTTTTATAATTGCAAATAATGTTCCTTATCTTTTTAATTTTGAGACAATTAACGTCTGAAACTCAAGAAAATGATCGATCACTACCTCCGCCGGGGTCGTTTTTCCGCATAATGAATCAGATGTCCGTGTCAGATATCCGTCTTAACCCCCTGAGCATATGTCCGGGGTCCCAGTTGGTCTAATCTGGCTTACCTCAGCTTAATAATCCCTCGAGATCTATGGCAACGCGCCCCGTCAGCCTGCCTACCCCCGGCATCATGTTCACGCTTGTCTACATCATCGACTGTGACATGGTCATATTAACTCGCATTGTGCTCGAATCAATGACCGGTTGGTACATCGTTACCAAACCTAAGGGGTGGAACCAGATAACATCTCTATAACGACCAAATTGATTCACTCAACGGCTTGATTAACGCAATTGATGATGTTTTTTAGCCTAAAGTGACGATAAATTTGCCCAACGGAGACATCAAGGGGTAATGTTGCTAGCCAGATGGTGCAAATTAGCTATAATTGTGTCGAAAAGGGTTCTAATTTTGTGGTGAGAAAGTCGGGTTCTTTGTACAAAATAATTTGTAAATTAAATATTTATATTTGCTATGGAATTGTCTCTAATTTTGAAATTAAGTTGGCAAAATTGAACAAAGGGTGTATTTTGCATCTTTACACTGTAAGAAACTTTGAGTTAAATCTAACTTAATTGCGGTGTCCAAGCGAGTCCACTCTAGTTTGTGTTAATATTTTACACATATTTTTTGAGTATATGATTGTATTTCTGAGTGAAAACCTTGTGAGTCAAATACACACATTATTGAATGAATACTACTCCAACTTTGTGATATAACCTAATCAAATTTGAGTGAAAATTGACTTAATGTTGAGTGGGTTTCTTATATTTTGTTACTCAAAATTGTGTTAAAATTCAATACATTTATTTAGGTACAGGCTGGTTTTGAAATAATAGACAAATGTAACTAAAAAACTGTATTATGAAAAATTATTTAATGGTTTATATGGTTCCTTGTAAAATAACGTATTTAGATCTTAATATGTTTCCTTGTTAAGTGTTCTTAAGTGTTTGATTAAAGCAGCAATGTCTATTTCGTTATGACATAAAGTACACAAAATTAACATTATTAAGAAAATGTGAAAAATATATAAAATCATTAAAATTAAGTATTATAAAAAAATCAATACTTTTTTTACTTTTCCTAATGAAGTTCCTTCATTTTAGAAGTCCAGATAACTCCTTCCATACCATTGTCAGATTCTTCATTTTCCGGTAGAATTATGTTGCTGGGTTTTGATGTTCGCTTGTAAACATTAAAAATTCTTTCTTCTATGACAGGGAAACATTCAGCTAATATTGGCGCGTTAGGATAAAGTATTGCAAACTCTTGTTCAATCTACCTAAAACCAATGACCTATGTAACTAACTATTATATATGTACAGTAGATTGTAAATGCTAGTATAGTATACATATGTAACTGCTATAAACCAAAGAATCAAACAATTTAATAATACTCAAAACTGAGTGAAATTGACTCATACCTATTAACCATAAACTCACTTTTGAGTTATTTTTTCCAAATAAGTTTTCGGTTTTTTTAATAAACGTTTTGCGACAATAATATCGTCCTTACTCCTTTTTACTAGAAACCATCAAGGAGGGTGTGAAAATTTTTAACAGTTTGACAAAGAATGTTTAATAAATACTTACTAGAAACCACTTCTATTAACGCATGATTATAATTTATAACTTATACTTAAATCAAAAGATTATTAGCAAAATTAGCAATTAGCAAAAGGTTGTAGTAGGTATAAAATATTTGATTTTTTAAAGTTCTAACAAGAGGAGAATGAATAATGCATACCATGAAAGATATCTACCTAATTAATAGAAATAGTTATCACTACTTACCGAGAAGTTTTACTTCTTTCTTGATAATTCTTTTATAAGACATCACTTTTTACAATTTGCCATTTCTAAGATTACAAACATCGTGTTGTAATTATCACAAAACTCGTAGTAACTAATAATAACTGATTTTTGAAGAATACAGTAAAACGCAGGATTGAGTAGTTAATACTCAAAATGTTAAAACTGAGGTTTACTGAGTTAAATTTAACACAAAATGTTTAACTCAAAATAATTTTGCGGTTACTTTCTAGGTTTTCTTACAGTGTACGGAGAAGTAAAGACAAGCAAACACAGTTAGTTAAAAAAAATAATTTTATAGTTTAAAAAGTTCTCAAAATACGAAATTCTGATAATTCGGAGCAAAACAGTTACATATTTTTCCCTTTTTTCCTTTCAGTAGTCCCATTTCTTCGAAACCTCGTCATGTTTCTTCACTGTCAATCCTCTCCCAATTTCTTTCTCACATGAATAAATCCACAATCAACAACCAATTGTTTCGATCGTGATTTCGTCCGAAGGAGGATCCAGCCGGTCCGGTCCGCATTATCTATAAATATGAGTCGTGAGCGGGATAAATCTCAATCAGACGTAATTAATTTCTCACGGGTGCTATGAAAGCGGCCACGAACAAGAGACTGCCTGATTGAGATGTCAAGCTTGCCATAAAAACCGCTTATAATAAATTACCATTTTTACCCCTCTCAAAATGAGTCTGCAAAAGTCCCGCAAGGCTCTGTTTCGAGTCCACGTTTTACCAAATGTGATAAGATTTCGGAGAATTGTCATCGCGCAATTCACATCAAAGCGATTAATTCTTAGCATTAGGCATGGGAAATGCATTTTAGAATTTTTTCCACTCAGATGTGGTCCACATGTGGAACATGTGGCTTTGGGACAAGCTCTGATTGATGACGTCACTGACCCGTGGTTTCGGTTTGCACTAATTGATCGTTGAACCGGCAATATGAAGGTGACAATGAGGAAAAAATCAAAACATGTGATTCAGATTTAGAGAATTCACTGACAAAGTTTTAATTAGAAAGTGTAAAAAAATCTATGGCCTACCTCTCTGGTTAATGTCTTGCACGCTGGATCGGCTTTTTTTAGATTTTTATGTGAAGGGGGCTGAAAACAGAGTTTTATTGTTGAGTCGTATTTTTGGGTAATTGATCCAATAATGTTTCTGTAGCAGCAGAAAGCAGTATTTTATGAAGTGAACCTAAAGTTTTTGATGACAACTTATATTTGTGTTTTTGTCTCCAATTTTCTCATTTATTTGCTGCATACTTTGAATTTTCAGAAGTAGACAACCGTAACATTAATTTTCCCTGCTGATGTCTATATCAAGCATTTAATTCCGTTATGTGCAACTTCTCTATTACTTGTAATTTTATTTATGACCTATCCTATGCCCATTTATGTAGAAAGTCATCTCGATTTTTCCCTTATCTAAACAAGTCATCAGCTAAAACAACACCAACCTGTCATCAATTTTTCGCAGCTTTGCGAGTTAATTCGCACTGCAAACAGGCTTTCGTCGCTATTGAATTTAAAGAGCCCTCTGTTTACGTATCAGCTTAACATCATAGATAGTCGTATGTTGATTCAAAAAATGACCAACACTCAGTATATGAGCTTGATTTCCCATTAAAAAGCTGGTCTCACGCACGGTTACCGTTGTGTGTTAACGAATCTTGATTACCATCAACATCTCGAAATACATAAAAAAATCATATGTATGGCTTGGAATATGAGCGGAATCATCTTATATCCACTCATGTCAGAATTAAAAATTAAAATTTTATAAAAAGAATCCGATTGTAATTGCGCGCTTGCATAATATCAGTTATGTGTTGTGTGGATGGTCGTTTAGAATGCAGTAGACCGGCTTTATAAATACTAATCAGATATGGTATCGCTTGTTCGTATGGACGTGGACTGGCATCGCGGCGATGGGACGGACCACCTGCCGATCAACGCCATTACCTCTTCACTCGATCAAAACGTGAGCTTTTGCCCATCTGGAAAATTTTTCATGTTTTTG